GTCACCCATGGTGGACAGGTTTCAGATGAGCTTCCAGATGAAGACAGACTAGGAAGAAGGAGTGACCAACTACTTCCCAATATTTAGTCACTGAAAACCTTATGAATAGCAGAGAAATACTGTCAGTTTTAGTACTGGAAAATGAGCCCCTCAGGTTGGAAGGCACTCAAAATGTGACTGAGGAAGAGCTGCCTCCCCAAAGTAGAGTTGACCGTGATGACATGAATGGAGTAAAGCCTGTGGGAGAGAAGCCTTCATTTGCTGATGGGGCACAACTCAAAATGAAGAGAAACAGCTGTAAATATTCACTGAAAATTGGAGCATGGAATAGACATGACTCCAGTAGCAGCATTATTATATTTCTTATAGTCCCTTTAGCTATTACAGGTAATAATTAACGAAGTGACCATCTAAGAACCATGTTTCACTTAACATGCCCCTTTGTTCTTTCTCTTACAAAGTTCCATACTTCTGTGGGTCTGGAGCCATTGCAACGAATCTCACATCTGACACCAACTGTAAAAAAAAACTGTAGTATATTCTAGAGCTTCCAATAAATTTACAATAAATCTGTGAGTTCAAGAGCAAGTTTCAGAGTATCTTCTTTTCTTCATTTGCTGCCTCTTAAATGATCTTTTCCTTCCTTAATGTATCATGTTCTTGATGTCATTCCACAACTCCTCTGGGTTCTCAACATTAGTGTTCATTGTGTTAAATTTATTCTTAAGATGGTCTCAAATGTGGCTGGATATACTCAAGATCATTTTTTGGCTCTCGTAGACTTTTAATTTTCTTCGCATTCAGCCTGAACTTGCCATGTGAGCAACTGATGGTCTGTTCCACCGTTGGCTCCTGACCTCATTTTGGCTGATGAGATTGAGCTTTTTCATTGTCTCTTCCCACAGACGTAGACAATCTGGTTTTTTGTTTTTTTTTTAAATTATTATTCAATCTGGACATGCCCACATATATAGTCACCGTTTATTTTGATGAAAAAGGTATTTGCAATGAATAAGGTGTTGTTGGCCTTGCAAATGTCAGTCATGCAATCTCCAGCTCCATTTCTATCACTAACACCATATTTTCCAACTAGTTCCTATATCTTAGAATAGTTGTTAGTATTCAAAAAGTTAATATATCTAAACACTCAAAAACAGTGTCTGGCACAAGGCAAATAGTTATTTCATGTCTGTCTGCTCCACCCAAATTAAGAATCCTTCAGTTTTTATATTTCCAATATCAGCACAAGGAGCAGTGGAAGCATAGTGGTTAGGAGTCAAACTGCTGACCTCAAGTTCAGCAGTTCGAAACTACCAGCCATTCCATGGAAGAAAGATGAAGCTTTCTGCTCCCATAAAGACTTACAGTCTTGGAAACCCTACACAGGGTCACTATGAACCAGCTCCATGGCGTACCACCAACACACCACCACCAAGTATCAGCACAAAGTTTAGTTGATAGTCAATATTTAAAAAACAACACCATTTGCTAAGTTAGTAACTGGCTTAAGGGGTATGTCATAAGTGTATGCCATAAGTGTGAATATCACACACACACAATCACAAATGATTTTATAGACAGATAAGCTTATATATAGTCTTTAAAAGAATAGTATAAATTTACCATTTACCTTGAGATATACTTAGTGCTCTTTGCTTTGGTGCCAAATCTTCAGCAGCTTCATTTTCTACTATAAGATTTTCTAGAAAAACAAAGAAAAAAATGGGAAAACCTTGTAGATACTCGTGAAAATTCCTGTGGAAGCTGGCATGACTTCCTTGCTCATCTATCAATGAATGAACTGGGGGTTTCCATGGTAATGTGCCCATGAAGGCATCTGTCCGCACTGGCATTGTTTCTAGACCCATTTCGGAATGATTTCTTAATCCCACTGCTTTTTCATATTAATGTTATACTCCTTTAAACTCATCTGGTCCCCCCAACCCCTTCCTGCACACACCATCTTAATGGAGTGCCCAGAGTGGCCTTGGCAGAACTTTAAGGCCAGGATTTCTATTATTGCCCTCTGACCATGTATTAAAAGGACAGGCCAAAGGTGATCCCACCTTCCAGCTCCAATCCTAATGGGGCCACCATTTGCATGCATTCCTCCCCACCCCTTTGCTGTACATGACCCCAAGTCTTACGGATCATGTTCACACTTATTTACCTATAATAGAATGTCTTTGAGGTTTTCTTGGTATAACTGGTGGTGGCATGACAATGGGGCCAGGAAAGTCACTGATATTTAATACCACAGGAGTATTTCGTAGTAAGTGGTCAGATGGTTGTTTTTCTGGCTTAGAAGATAAAACACTAGGTAGAGGACTTTGCATTGCTGTACTTAAATCTATCAGGGGGATCTCAGAAGTATACTCCGCAGAAATTTTTGGTGGATATTTATCATTGAAAACCTTGTCTGTGGTAGTGATAAATTGGCCATGGTCACTGAAAGGTTTGGAGAAATTTGGATTAAGAATTAGGACGTGTTGTAAACGTTCATCAACATTTTTACTTTTTACTTTGGATAACTGTCTCTTTGACTGTCTTAAACTTTCTATTTGACTTATTTCTTTCCCAAAAACTCTAGCTGAAGCTGAGTGACAAGTTGGAAAAAATATGGAACCACGAGCAGTAGCTGGAATGTGGAAACAAATGTCTTGGAGAGATTTTTTAGATGTTGGAAAAAGTTTTACAAGAGACCGTTTTTCTTGTATATGCTGATCAATACAGAGGTTTTGGACACTCAGAAAGGCTTGTGATTGGTTTCCTGAAGCAACATCAGGAATTAAACTTTTGTCTTCTTTAACTGAAGTGGCTTTATCTTGAGCTAGCTTTACATCTTGTTCTGTTTCAATGGCCTTGGCTAAACCAGAAAAAAAAAAAAGCACAATTAGATTTGAGTTAAGGAGCTCTAGTAGCATAGTGGTTACCAATTGGGCTGTTAATTTCACAATCAGAAGTTCAAAACTACCAGTGGTACCGCAGGAGAAAGATGACGCTTTCTGCTCCCATAAAGAGTTATAGCCTTGGAAACCCTATACAGGGTTGCTATGAGTCAGAACCAACTCCACGACACACCACCACCACTACCAATACCACCACCACCCAGATTTGAGTTATGAAAGTATTAGGACCAAGCCAATTACCATCCTAGTATCCATAGCTTTTGTTTACCAACCCATACCTCTCTCATTTTCTAAGGAGATTTCTGTGCATACTCGCTCAGCTTACCAGGACTTTTGTCAAGCTAATTAGGATAAAATCTGAGTGAAAAATTAGAAAAGTGGAAAGGCTAAATTGTATTCGATTTAGGGAAAGTAGGGAAATACTCTTGGAAAAAGAGATACTGATGGAAAAAAGAGGATTCAAGAGGAATTTCTAAGCAGATGCTTTGAAAATTCTGGGGATATGGATGGGTTAAAAAGCGATTTCAGTTAAATGTTGCTTTTTATCATGTATTACTGTTCTCCCTCATTTGATACTTAAAGTGAAAATTCAGATTTGTTTTCAATGCTTCTTTTAAAGGCCTACCATTCTGTCTTTTGAACATGATGTCACTCTGACACTAGATATATGAATATATATTCTTTTCTTTCATAGGTCCAGAAAATGCAGAGTGCCGACATTCTTACACACCTCATTATTTCAAGCTTGCCTTCTCTTTCCTATGTGAGAGAACATTAAATGACACTTTTTCTGTTGTCTTGAATGAATACAATAATGGTGAGTTTCTCGACGTTCCAGCGAGGAGATAACTGATTCATCATGGCAGACCTTGCAAAGAAATGGACAAACCAAGTCCTTCAACCCTTTAGCCTGTCACTTCCCTGGTGTTCACATATAAGAGATGGCTAGAAATTGATGTGGCATCATAGTGTTGGACTGCTAACCACAAGGTTGGTGTTCAAGCCCACCAGCCACTCCTTGGAAACCTTTATAGGATTACTATGAGTCAGAATGGACTCGACAGCACTTAACAACAATAGCTACAGAGATTGATTTGGTTGAGTGCTTGCTACTAATAGAAAGGTTGGTGTTCGAATCCTCCCTGAGAAGAAAGACTTGGTGATTTGTTTTCCATTGAAAATCATAGGTGAAGTAGTATTCTGAAACACATGAGCCAGCTATGGAGTTGGAGTTGACTTCAGGGTAGCTTGTTTGTGTGTATTAAAGATTGACCTGGGAAGAGAACAAACAAGATGGTGGATCGGGTGGAAGTGCAGTAAAGGAGCTCCGCCAACAACAACACAGAATATCCGACCAAGCAGGCTCAGGGGATGGTCCCAGAACTCTGAACCACATATAAAGGAATATTTAGAAGGTTGGAAGGCTCACAGCTGGGGGAATTTGTGGTAGAAGCAAGAAAGCTATTGCTTTCTAGTCTGGGACACTCGACTGCTCCAGGAGCCACCATCTTGGGTGAGACCACACAGGGGAAGGATCGGAGCAGTCATAGACGCCTGGCAGAACTGCTGAGATAAAGGTGTGGACATTCTTTTCTTTTGTTATCTGTTCATTGGTCCCTTGCTATCTG